CATGCACTAAACTAAAATCAGAATGGCAGGGTTGGGGATATAGTTCAGTGGCACAGGGCCTGCGTGGCAAGTGCAAGGTCCTGAGTTCAGTTTCTGGTACAAAAAATAAATAAATAAACTTATAAAAAACTTATAAAAATCAAACTGGATCAAAGATCTAAACATTAAAACAGAAACACTAAATCTTCTGGAAGGGAGAATAGGTAGAACTCTTGAAGACATAGGTGCAGGCAAAGACTTTATGAACAAAACTCTGATTGCACAAGAAATATTATAAAGAATCAACAACTTGGATCTCAGCTTATTAAAAAATGTTTGCACAGCAAAAGAAATCACCAAGAGAGTAAAGAGAGAACATGTAGTGTGGGAAAAAATTTTGCTAGCTGTTCCTCAGACAAAGAACTACTATATAGAATATATAAAGAACTCACTAAAACCGTACAGTCCAAATTTAAAGGTTCAATCCAAAAACGGGCATCTGAAATGAATACATACTTCTCAGATGAAGAAGTACAAATGGCAAATAAATATATGAAAAAATGTTGAACATCACTGGTCACTGGAGGGATGCAGATTAAAACAACACTGAGATTCCATTAAGAAATCAACTAATAATAAATACTGGCAGGGCTCTGGGGAAAAAGGAACCCTTCTCCACTCTTGGTTGGAGTGTAGACTGGTGCAACACTGTGGAAATCAGTGTGAAGATTCTGAAAAAACAAAACAAAACAAAACTAAAGGTCCCTATTCCCCTTCTTGATATCTTCTCTAAAGAATTAAAAGCATCATACTACAGCGATATATGCACACCCATGTTTATAGCAGCAGAATTTGTAATAGTTAAATCTTGGAAACAGCCCAAGTGCCCATCAAAGAATGAAAGATAAAGAATATGTGGGTTTTAAAAAAAATATAACAGAGTATTACTCAGCCATAAAGAAGAATAAACTTGAGACATGTCTATGTAAATGGATGCACTTTGTGACCAAACAAGTGATCTGTTTTAAAGAAAGAAATCTAAACCAAATGTATATGATTTAAAATACTAGAAAAGAAGCCTCCTTGCTCTCTGGGAAGAGAAAAGGAATGAAAAAATAATTTAAAATGTGGCATTGAGTCATGCTCATGCTCCCTGCCTCACAGTCTGTGTCTGCAGTCACTCTCAGGGATGTTTTGTGGCAGGTCTCACTGGGCCTTGACTTCTAGATTCACAGTTATTGAGCTATCATTTATGAACTGATATGAATGTCAATTATTTCTATTTTCATGCTGGATCAACTTTGATGTGATGATTTTTACAGATGGCATTTGCCTTGTAGTGCACCAAACGTAGTTATTTTCAAACCTCAATCATGTCCTCACATATCAGAGTCCAGGGACTTAGAAAACAGACCTGATCTATGCATCTGCTTCTTGTGTGGCTTCTGAACTGCAGTCATGCTTAAAATCCAAACACCTTCTATTGGTCCCCTGTATAGAAGTCACACCATCCACTGACTATTTTGGTTCATTCTCTCTGAATCTTCTCCAACTCTTTTACATCTTCCTTGAGGTCTAACCACAGAACGCTTATGCATTTCTCCAGGTAGAGATGAACTGTGACCTTGTACAAGGGTGGGCTGCTGCTTTCATTAGAGGTTTCATTCATAGTAGACAGAAGCATAGATGGTGTCATAGACCCTGTACCAGATTGCTCATGTGGTCCTTTGACCGTAACTAAGCTACTTGCCCCCCTCTGAAGCTCAGTTTCTCTGCTGTGTAGTCTCACAGGGTCATCATCAGGGACCAAATGAGAGAAAATGCAGAGCAGTATACAGATACATGTCTTGATTTGTTCTGATTTAAAAATTAGTGAATGCTTATTACTATAAAAGTAAAGTATAAAAGAAATATGCAAGGAGAAGCAAAACTTCTAGAAATAACACTGGGACTTTTTAGCTTTACTTTTTGAGATTTTGTTTCTCTCTAACTATAACATGCAATACAACTATAATTTATTTATGTTTATGAAAACAGGTCCATGTCTCCATGGAACCCCAATTGCACAGATGCCCCATAGATTATTTAACCAATTTGTAGTGTTCACCATTGCAGCTTGTGTCCAAATTTTTAGCTTTTGAAACAAAACTGCAACATACAGTGCTATGCTTCAGTATTTTTTTTTTTTTTTTGCATGTGTGATTATTTCTGTATATTCCTGGGAAAGAAATTGCTGGGTCAAATGTATGAGCATTTAACTTTTTAAGGATACTTATTCACTAACTTGGACAAAAGTTTTAAAGCTATGGACTGCCCCAGGAATATTCATTATTAAGACAGGTTCTAGAAAACAAGCAGTGAGTTGTGGTCAGAGAATGCAACTGGGAAGAGAGTAGGTACAGATAGAAGTCACATAACCTCTCTGCCTCTGCGTCTTCATTTGCAAAATACAGACAAGGTGAGTTCCGATCGGGCAGGATTGTTGTGAGGATTATACGAGATGGCATAGATAATGTGCTGACATAGATGATGTCCTGACAGTCCCGCTTCCTGTAGAGAAAGCCCTTAGACTGAGAAATGCTGCTGGTCCACAGGAACTGCAGCCCGGCTGGGCTTTGTCCCCAGAGCAGGCTGGACTCAGCAGGTGGCCAGGCCCCCTGGGGAATCCATGTAGCAAAAACTCTCATGGCCTACGTGTGCCTTCTTTAGACAGAATCTGATTCTTCTGTTCCCCTTCCATGGTGCTAGGAGATCATTTTTTAAAAACTTTAAACAGATTTTTATTGCACAAAGGTTGTCACATAATTGATCTTCCCTATTTTGTACACAATTATTCTTCCTCTCCACAGAAAAGGCTGCTTCTGAACTTCTCCTCTGTGATGGGAAGCGCTAGAATCTTGACTGTAGCAGAATAGTAGTAGAAATGCTGCCATGATTTAAGTTGAAAGCAATACACTGGTACATGGCTCTAACACCCAGTTTCAGCAATGTACAAATGTTTTTGTATTCAAAAATATAAAATAAATTATCTATAGGCATGGACAATGACAATCATAAACCAGTGTATATACTGTAACTGAAACCAGCAGTGATGGGCGTGTGATTTCCTTCTATCAGCAGCCTTCTTTTCCTTTCCTTCATCTGAATTCTCCAAAGTTATTGGGGAGAACCCTGCGTGGGTGCTTCTGTTACAGTTCATGAGTGAGGGCCAAGAGCTTTGTTAAGCTAGAACATCCCACTGCCCATCCCACCACCCATCCCACCCATGGTGCCCAGAGTAGGGTCCTTCTCCTCCTTAGGGATTTCTGTGACCACAACTTCCACCATTGTTAACAAAGAGGCCACCTCTGCAGCATCCAGCAGAGCAGTTCTTACAGCCTCTGTTGGGTCAGTGATTCCTTTCTCTACCATATTCACAAAGTCTCCGAGCATAGCATCATAACCAGCTTTGGAGGAGTTTTGCAGGATTTTCTCAACCATCAAAGATCCTTCCACACCCACATCCTTTGAAATGGTCATTGCAGGGATTTTCAGTGTTCTTTTAATAATTTCTACACCAATTTTTTTGATCTTCATTAGCAGGAGTTAAGGGATCCAGGTGGGAATGCACTGAAGCAGGCACACCCAGCCCTCAGCACAATGCCTTCTTCCACAGCTGCCGTCGTAGCATTGAGGGCATCTGTCACCCTGTCTTCCTTCTCATTCACTTCAACGTCACTTGTCCCACCACCCTTCAGCACAGCCGCTCCACCTGAAAGCTTCGCCAGCCACTCATTCACTTTCTCCTTCTTATATTCACAGGTTGTGATTTCTAGTTGCTCAGTGATTTCTTGGATATATTTTTCAATTTATGTGTTGTCACCTTTGCCTTTCAAAAGCATGGCATCATTGTGGTCATGATGACCTCTCCAACTTTTCCTAAATCATGGGGCTGAACATCTTCAAGGTTTAGGGTTAACCCTTCTCCAAAGACTGCACCACCAGTAACAATAGCCATGTCTTTCAGCTGGTTCTTTCTGTTGTCACCAAACCCTGAAGCTTTGACTGCAACAACCTGAAGACCAACCTTTAGCCTGTTCAAGACCAGGGTACTGGGAGCTTCTGCATCAAAGTTCTCAGCAACTATGACCAAGGGCTTTCAGTGAGCATTGGTGATTTCAAGAGCGAGTACAATTGACTGGTTGCTGGAGATTTTCTTCTTGCTCAGTGGAATACAAGCATTTGGAATTCACACTTCTGGACTATTGATGTGTTAATAAAGTATGGAGAAATACAGCCTCAGTCAAACTTCATGCCTTCAGTAATTTTCAATTCATCATCCAGGATTTTTCCCTCCTTCACTGTGACGATGCCCTTCTGACCAACCTTCTTCATGGCATCAGATCTGATGCTGCAAATTCCTTTGTCTCCATGTGCAGAGACTGAGCAGTTTCTTCAAGGGTTGTCACAGGTTTGGATCTTAAGTTCAGCAATCACAGCATCAATATCTAACATCACACCTCTCTTCATTTCCATGGGGTTCCTGCCTTTGCTGATCTCTGGAAGCCTTTCTTGGCAATGGAGAGCACCAGGGCAGTCACAGTGGTGGTGCCATCCCCTGCCTCTTTGTTTGTGTTGCTTGCAACATCTTGAACAAATTTAGCCTCAATATTTTTGTACTTATCCTTTAAATCAGTTGACTTTGCGACAGTCACACCATCTTCCCCAGGTGCTCCGTGAACAGCGCTGTGTACAGGAAGGTTGTAGTATGGGCCACTTCTCTGGACAAGTGACCTTTGTTGTCCTTTGTCCTGGTGGTCATCCTTGGGACCATTGTTAAGATTAGGACTGTTCCACCTTCCTGAGTTTCTGAGTTTCTTTGTTCGCTTGTGTGTCACCTTGAGCATTTCTTTTTGCATAGTGATAACCAAATGGTCATCAATTTGTGCATAAGTTAACAGAAGCCTTTGATGCATGTAAGCATAGAGGATCTTTTTTTTTTTTTTTGGTACCGGGAATCAAACTCAGGACCTTTCATTTGCTAGGCAGGCGCTGTGCCGCTGAGCTATATTCCCAGCTCTAGAGGATCATTTTGTATCCTCTTCAGTTTTCATTTATCCTTGAAGGTAGACACTTTTACCTGCTTCCTTTGGGTGAATTTCACTTTTGAAGCTGCCCACCCTAAAGCCTAAGCAGTCTCAGCTTTCATGTAGTAAAGTGAATCACAGCTTGTGTTGGCATTGGTGTGTTTGGGCCTCTTGATCTGTAATTATAATAAATAATGCTAATATGAGCTCAAGACTTCCTGAGGATTATTTTCTAAACTTTTCTTTTTGAAGTACCTGGATGTTCTCGAAGTTTCTCTCAAAAGGAGTGAGAGCCTGATTGTTTTTCCTTTCCTTCTGTACCCAGAATGGTGACTCTAATCATCCTTTCATACCACACTTCCTGTACACTTTCCTGTCTATTTCTTAGAACTATATCTAGTGCATTTTCTTCTGTGTTTATAAAACTACCTGTACTTGGAAGCTATTGCTGAAATAGGAGCGGCTGAGCTTCTCTGTGCAGGGAAGGGCTGCAGGGATGGGTGTAATTTGAAAGGTGTTGTCTCACATCTGCATTCAGGAAGTATTTATTAGACATGTTCTGTGCATTTAGTATAAAGTGAGATGCAGCAGTCAGCATGACGGACAAGAGCCTCATATACATAGTGAACGCATTCTAGCAGGTGTCTAGTGGAGGGCAGGGCACTTGAAAAGATGGATAAACAAGTAAAGGGCAAGAGCAATGAAGGCACTTGAGAGGGCACCTTGGCAGAGCACAGCGAGTGGGGAGACTCCCATTAGGAGCGCCTTCTCTGGGGATGTGACACCTGGATTATTCTTAAACGATACAAAGAAGCCAGGCATGCGGCAGCCCAGGTAAAATCTTTCTAGGTAAAGAGAATGAAAAGTATAAAGGCCCCAAGACAGGATAACTTTGTTGTACTCAGGGAACACAAAGAAAAAAAGTGTGGTTGAAGCAAAGGTCACAGAGACAAGAAAGACAAGATGATGTCAGAGAAGGGTTGGGGCCAGATTGTGTAGGACCCTGAGGTCAAAATAAGAAGTTCAGCTGAACGTGGTGGTGCACACCTATAATCCCAGCACTCAGGAGGCTGAGGCAGGGAGATCATTGATAGTTCGAGACCAGCCTGGGCTACAAACTGAGCTCAAGGCCAGCCTGAACTGCATAGTGAGACCCTGTCTCAAAAAGGCAAAAAAAAAAAAAAAAAGAAGTTCAGATTTGATGTCCTCCGTGCAGTGGGAAGTCACATGTGGAACATCCCAAGATCTCTGAAGCAGTAGCTCTGGCTACTGTGTAGACAAGAGTGTGGAGGGTGAGCAGGGAATGAGAGACTGGCTGGGAGGGTATTTCATGTCCTAAAGCAAGATGATAGGAGCCTAGATCAGGAGACAGCGAGAGATATATGGGTCTGGGATATATTTTAGAGGCAGAACAGGCAAATTATCTGCTAGGTTAGACATGGAGGGTGTGTCAAGAGAACACGTGACCATCACCTTGGCTTTGGCCTGAGTGCCAGAAAGGACAATTTATTTATAGAGAAGGAGAATGCTGGTGGAGGAACCAGGTGTGTGGGGAGGTCAGAAGTGTGGAGCAGGCATCAGAGGATGAGTTTAGAGCCCAAGGGGAAGCTTTGTGGATGTCCGACTTTATGTCACTGTGTTGGTATTTGGGCTCTATCACTAGCGCCCAGGCAGGAACACGATGGTGGATGTGGAAGATTCATTCTAAGCGCTGAATGGGTTGTGTTGCCCTCATTAAATGTAAATATGCCCCAAAGTGATAACTCCTTATATATTAGTCTTTGTCACCAAGAATGAACTTGCACCTTACTTAATGACCACAATTTAATAGCTGATGTTTAGAAGGAGATAATAGGGAGACTAGCACTGTACAAGACTCCTGGAAGGGATGGGCTGAGCCTGGAGTTTGTCCTGAGGGAGGAGAAAGGTATGCTACAGAGAAAAACTGCAAGAAAGGTAACTTTGCAAGACGCTATGTGATTTCTTCCTTTCCAAAGGAGGCGCATCCTTTTTCAAATATATAGTTGCTGCCTTGTTTAAAAAATCAGAACCAAACAGCAGCAACAACAAAGTGACTAATTTTAGGTAACATTTCCAGTTCAGTTTCTTCATTCTATAAGGCAATCTATTCCATAGCTATATTACATTTTTATAGTGTATAGAATTTTTACTTCTAGTGATTTGCATAATGCTTTGTTTGCCTGGGAACAGCTTTGTACAGCAATGTAATTAAAGCCCAACTAGCTATAGTCCACTGTGGGCTGGTGGGGTACATCTACATCCAGGTTTCTCTTTTAATTTGTTTTTAAAATTTTTTTTTCTTTTTTAATTTGAAAAGGCACTCTTCAAATAAGTACTGATGCTCACTCTGTGATAGGTGTTGCACTTAGCACTTGGTTTTTTTTTCCCGTGGGGTCAGCAAGTGGAATTTATTCCATAGTCTCTTTAGGTGTGGCCCAGTGGATAGTTAGTGAAACTTTAGTTGAAAAAGGGAGATTTAAGGCAAGGTCAATAATAAATAACAAAATTATTCTTTTTATTTTTGTTCTTTGAGTCCAAACTAAAGAAAAAAAATTGGAGAGCTTTGTGCTAGGTTTTGGGGTGACTACCCATGGGATCTGATATCTCCACATTGTGGATATGAGTCAAAATGGTTCAGACAAGATACCTAGTACCATGTTTGGCCCATTTCAATCTTTCTTAATTTTTCCTGACACGTTTCCTAGAGTTTTCACCAAATCTGGAGATTTTTAGTCCACATTGGTCCCCATGGATATGCATGCTTAAAGGCAGTAACCTTACTGCTCTGGGGTTACATGGATACAGAGTATCCATGTAACTGAGGCCCAGAGTCCAGGTGTTGCCTTCAGGTAACCAGCAGATGTTTTGAGTGCCCCACCCAGGTGCTGCTCAGGAAAGGTTAGCATCTGTCCTTCCCCAAGGGGTGAAATTCCTCCCTCTACTTTCCAGCCTTGAGAACAGACAATACCTACCCTACCCTTAAATGCTCCAAGCATTTCTCATTGTTCCTTTTGTGAAAATCTCTTTAAGTGGCTGTGGAAATACTGTCTTTCTCCTCTAGAGTGAGAGGCAAAGGCCAAGTTTCTCCCTCTGACTTATCCCTGCTGCAGGAATTCATGACATCAATACAGCAAGAATGGCAAGACGGGCTTTGGCCATCAGATGGTTCTGATTTATCTATTTGTTTGTTTAAAGACAGGGTAACTGACCTTGAATCACTATGCAGCCGAGGTTGGTCTCCTTGTGATCTTCCTGCCTCAGCCTCTTGAGTGCTAGGATTACAGTTGTGCACCATGGCGGCCAGCTCATGGGATGATTCTGAATCAATAGTTGGGATGCATTTGGAGACCTGAGAACATCTGGTGAATTGGAGAAAGGTTAGTGTTGGAATGAAAAGAAGTTTCTAGGTTACCTTGGGTCAAGAGCAGGATACTCTTTTCCCTGCATATTCTGATAATGACAGTTTCATGACTTTGCTGCCTAAATTACTACTTTCACTAAAACCATCTCCCTCTCCTTCTCTCCTGCTCATCCTTCTGGAGAGCAATGGCATCCAACTGATGAGCACAGCAATCCAGGGCCACCACTTCCGGTGTCTTTTCAGACCTCTGCAGAAACCTCCTGGTCCCTGGGTGTGCTTTTCAGTCTGCTCTACCGCTCACCCTCACCATTAACCCCTGCCTATCCCGCCAGGCTTGTATTGGTCCGAGTGCTGTACAGTTTCTTTAGAAATGTCTTCTTCACTATAGTTAAACTTCGCAACATGACATTTCTTTCTAGCATCTTGTTTATTTAAACAGGTTGCTAAACTTCTCCAAGACCCCAAATCCTTTCAGCTTAAAGCAGTGGATTTTAAATCTGCTTCACTCACAAGGCACATTTGACAATGTCTGAAGACATTCGTATCGTTGTGGCTATGTGGCTGCTGGTGGCAGCTAGTGTGGGTAGAGGCCAGGGAAGCTGATAAACACACTAAGGTGCACATTATCCAGTCCCAAATGTCAACTGTGTTGAGGTCGACTTCCCTAGTTTAAGAGAAATAAAAAAGACAATTACATTTTAAAATTACAAAATAGTACATAATCCTTATGGGAAAGATATAGACATTCCTTATTTAATGACAGAGTTACGATCTTGTGACTAGGTCATTAAATGAATTGGTCACTATATGAGGAATTGGATACAGTATGTACATTATAATATTCAGAACAAAGAAATGGTCAGAGGAAGTTCCAACTTGATGACTTTGTTTTTGTTTGCATAACTCTTGGATGCAATACTGTAATGTATAACAAAACATAAAACTATAGTACTGCACTATACAATACAATTAACAAAAATTGCAGTACTGTATAAACAAGGTACACTGTACAAAAAATACACAAAATGCTATAAACAAGAAGTACAGACTTGTGTTAAAAAAGTGATAGGTTGTAATTCTGAACAGTCGTTCAGCAGGTTGTTAGACAAGGAATGTCTGTATAGATAAACTAAAAAGAAAAATGTAAACCTCTTCAAATACCAGAACAGTACAATTTTCTGCTTTGGTTAATTTTTTTTTCCATAGCTGGGCATAGTGATGCATGCCTATAATCTCAGCACTCAGGAGGCTGAGGCAGGAGCATCTCTGCGAGTTTGAGGCCAGACTGTGCTACCTAGTGTGTACAAGGCCAACCAGAACTGGTCTCAAAAAACCAAAAAACTTTTTTTCCCTTCTAAAAGTATATATTAAGGTATATTAAGAATAAATTGAATGCTTTCTTATTCCTAGCAAAAACTTATTTATTCAATGAATGGAAGCAAGTTGACCTTATGGGCTAGTAGGCAGGAAAAAGCAAAGTTACAAATAAACACTAAAGTCTGTTTCTTTAATGCACAGGATGGATTCCAGATGTATTTCTAGATTTGGAATTGCTGCCCAAGAATGCAGACATGGGAACTTGTTGGGAGCTTAGGGAGCTCCTGAGCCTCCCCTCCTTCCCAGGCCCTGGCTGGGGTGAGAACAAACACTGGAGCTAAGACCGCTCAGCGGGGCTTGGAGAAGGAGGGAGAGGCGGCCATGGCTGCTAGTTTTAAAATGGAAGGCTTTTAAAATAGTAAGATGTTAAAATGATGGCCTGTGGAAGGGGAGGAGCCTGTCCATGGCCTTAAAAGCAGGAGATGACGTGGCAGCAATGTGAGAGTGTCTCTGAGCACCAGCCTGGGCACACAGGGGACAGAGGACAATAGGCGATTCGCAAGCGCCAGGGCATGGACCTCGCAGACCACCATCCAGCTAGGCGCACGCAGGCTGCCTGTGTGGTGGGCGTGAAGCGTGCCGGGAGCGTTCTGTTCTCCAGAGTAGCGTTGAGGTGGAGGATGAGGAAGCAGCCGAGTGTGGGGGGGACTTCCCGAACTGTCTGTGGAAGGTTTTGTGCCAGGCTGGGCGTCCAGAGGCCCAGAGATGAATCAGATTTTTGTCCAAATTGAAGAGAACAGAATGCATTGAGTCTGGGGCGCTCTCTTTGCTTTTCTAAACAGGAAATTGTCTCCTCTTGAAACCTAGGGCTGGCGCAGAAATCGCAGAGCTGTTTTTGTTAGAGAAGGTTGTACCCGACGGAGTCTAGGCAGGAGCTGTGAGAATGACTCCAAAAGGCCTTTCACTCGTAAGAAGCAAGCATGATGGGAGGGGATCCGGCTCCTTAGTGAGTTAAATTCTCTCTGCTGAAACGTTTTGCGAGCCATATGCATGGAAATAATTTCAAGAACAATGCAGAGGTGAAATCAAAGCAAATCAACAAAGGCCCGAGAGCTGAGATACAGGACAAGAGTGGAGCTAGAGCCATGGATACATGGGGTGGGGGGCACCCTGTGGTTTGTAACAAGATGCTCTGTACTCCCAGCCTATGTAAATGTAATGTAAAGAATTATTGTGGAAGATCTCAAACAGAAATTAAAGCAGAAACAGTGCTCTGAAGAACCGGATACCCTTAGCAGTGAAGATGGTTAATTTCTAATAATTAGCCTATTCGGCTTCAGTTCTGTCCTAAACCTCAAATCCCCTAAGTGCTATTGAAGAGAACCCCAGGCATCAAATCATCTCATTTATGAATATTTCAGGACATTTTTCTAAAAAGGAAGAAAATACAATTGGAATTTTAGGTTTTCATAGATTGCTTAGCTCACTCTAAACAGTGCTACTTGATGTACAAATGAACTGAAGAGTATCATCTCCAGAAGAGCCTTCCCAAGGTGAGGCGCTGGCCCTCTACTTCCTCAGCACCCTGGTGTACCTTGCTCATTGCCCCTAATATGTCACGCAGACATTATTTTCTGCTTGTCTGTGTTCCCACAGGGTGGCATTGACACAAAATGTTCAGTAAGCATCGTGTCCTCCCCCCATTTCACAAGCTCCTTTGCACTTCATTTGGGGCCATGTGACGACTTCAGGAAGGCCAATGAATAGTAAGTGAAAACCCAATTTTCAAGAAATATTTTCAAGGAAGGAAAAGTAAAAAGAAAAGAGAAAGGAAGAAAAGCAGAAAAGATAGCTAGAAAGCAAGCAAGCTGGTCCTGCAGCTCCAGATTTTGATATATGAGTTCAAAATTTCCACTCTTCAGAAGAGAATAATAGTAAAAACCAGCCAACCCAGAGAGCTCTCTTTCAGTTTTCTGAAACTCTGCCCTAAGAAGTGTATCTTACATTATTGTTTTGCTTTACCAAATGATTCATACATGAAACCAAGGTTTACAACCAAGTGTCTCATGAGTGCTTCTTTCCTAGACTTGGGAACTTGCCTGCAACCTCTGGTGTCCACTGTCATCACACTGTTCCACAACCCTCCTTTGCCTCTCTTGCGTCAGTGCCCGCCATGGACCTCCTCCAGCCAGACACTGCTCCCGGTGCCATGGTTACAGTAGTGAACACAACAGGGCAAAAGCCTGGTCTCCAGGTGAACAGCTGAGTGAGAAGATAACTTCCACATAGGGTGGCAAGTGCTCTGGGTTCATCCTGGAGCACCCGCTTGTCCAGCTTCCCAGAGACAGCATCTCCAGCAGTTCCTGGAGTGGGAATTAGGTGAGGGGCTGTACCATCTAGATTATGTCATCTTGTTTCTTCTTTCTAGCTCAGCACCCCTCTCTACTTGTGTTTCTCCCTTTGTCTGCTGGGCACTTTATCCTTCTCTTGCAGAACAGATAATCACCCTGAGAACATGTAGGGGGAATGCTTACAATCTAGTTCCCACCATTATTGAAGGATCTCTAGGAGACAGGAGCTGCAGAAATGTGCACACTTGTGTGGCATTAGATGCTGTCCATGCATACCAGTGGCAGTTTTGCCCTGAAGCAGATCTAGTGAATCCCAGGTCAAAGATATTACTCTTGTTCCTAGGAAGGGAATCATTGTGGAATGGGAAGGGAGGAAGTTTTCATCACAAATACTTATCATCCTTTTTCACCATCTTAATATATATTTCAGTCAAAACTTAGCAATGATAAGATTTCCTGGTCTTTTAAGTCCATCTAGATAAAATGACCATGTAGCTCCAGAAGACGTACCTGTGTACATGGCTAACATTCTAAAATAGATTTCAGCTGCTGCCTAAATAGCGTTAGGGTCAGAAGATGGATTAATTCTTTTTAATGCAATGAGGTTTGCAAAGTCCTGCAGCTTCTATTTAGTCTTAGCATGACGCCTTCAGTATTGGAAGATGAGTCTAACCAGCCGGGCTCCTCATCACAGATGGGGTCCTTAGGAATTTGGCACCAGGCTGGGTCCCATCTGATGGAGTTCCACTTTTATTCTTTTAAGTTGTCCCATTTCTTGTGGTTGAAGGTTGAGACAACTTTAGCAGCATGCCATTAGTTATGCTGGTCACTGAAAGAAGCCATCTCTTGATTATCACTTTTAAAGAATATTACTTTGCACTTGGCTCATGTGTGAAAGAAAAGACTTATTAGGTTGAGGGATGTAGGAGAAAAAAGAGGGACATTTTTGCCTAGCTCTTCCTTTGCTCCTCATTTAAGTTCAGTGGCGTTAGAAAGGAGAATAGCTTCATTCCCCAGCACAGCTTTTCAGAAGGAAAGGCGCCTTCTTGTTCTTTTTTTTTTTTTTTTTT